TAGATTAGATTAGACGCGCAGGCCTGGAGCTAGTATCACAAAGGAGCTAGTGCCTAAAAGCAAGCATCAAGTCTAGACATCCGCTGGAAACATGAAATCACCAATACAAAAGCAAGAAAGATAAACATATCCATAAAGAAACATTGGAGTAAAACGATTGTGAAGAAAGAAAGGGAACAAGAAAGGCGCAAAGAAGAGACACAATTTCAATTTAATTACATTACATTGAAATTACAATCTTTGGAAACCTGTCCAGAATGATATCCCAGCAGAATGAATATAGTCCAGTGCAACCTCGGAACCTCTCTAAAAGCAACTATACTGTTATCATCGCCGGACCCAGGCTAACTCTGTGAATCTTGAAAATAAGAAAATGCAAAACCAAAGCGCGAACAAACACAACTACAAAAAGTAAAAGTAAAATAATGCACATCCAAAAAGCAACAAAAGCAAATGAAAAAGCAAAAGCCCAAAAAAACAAATCCAAAAAGCAAAAAAAACAAATGAAAAAGCAAAAGCCAAACACATTTGTTTTTTGCTTTGTTCTTTTTGGATTTGTGTTTTTTGTTTTTACTTTTTCATTTGTTGCTTTTTGTTTTGTTGCTTTTGCTTTTTGTAGTTGCTTTCTTTCAACTTTTATGTTTAATTGAACATGATTTTGGCAAAACCATCAGAGATTGCCCAAGTGGCTTTCTTAAAACTACTGTAGGTAGCAAACATCATGCGTGTGCAAAAGTGAAGCGTGTGCAAAAGTGAATGAGTAACGGAGACTCAACACATGAAGCAGATCACACATGTCCATGGCATGACAGCCGGAGTCAGGTTTAACGTGGTACATTCATTTCTTTGTTAAGGCCAAAAGCGCAAAACTTCGGGGCATTCCGCCGCATACTCCACTGGTGGAAAAAACTGTTGCAGTGCACAGTTGGAAATTAAGTTCTTTCCGTGGTTGAGGGAAACAAGAACACACGCTTCATGTGGTGATGTTCCCGCTTTATCTTACTTTATCAGCAATTTCAAAACACATGCTGCAAGGGTTCCTACTTGCAGACCCCAGCCAAACCTTATTTACCTGGCCCCAGGCATATGCCATATGCCCTTTTGGGTATGACTTCAACCTTAAACCGCTGATCTGTGACATTTACCAAATGGGAAATCCATTTGATGCTCCTTTCTTAGGCTCAAACTTCGCGCCCGCGGGCGCGGTAGGGAAGGGGGGTGTCCCACCAGCACTGCGAGTGTTTGGTGGGATGACCAGCCCCAGTATGAAGGCGGGGATGCAAGTGCAGCAGCCACACGGGAACATGGTGGGTGGGTGGGGAGAGGGTCATCCTTGATCAACGACCTTGAAGAATGCACGCACTCCAATGCACTTGGCATTCTGAATACGGTGCCTATAGGCATCCTCGGCAAATCCATTTGATGTGCCATTCGGACCACCTGAGACGGACACCGTCTCTGCGCGGCGAACCTCACTGCGTTTCACCGAGGAAAGGTTGAAGTGTTGGCTTGATACCAGGACCCGACATCTGTCGGGGTGTCCTGGCTGAACTACCCCACACTACTCTATAGGCTTCCAGACAGGGCACCCCGATGGTCGGAGGGTCCTGGTAGAGACCAAACATCCAGTTGGATTTGTACATCTCTAAGGGCCGGCTGCTCCTCCTAACTATGCGCCAACACTGCTTGGGAGCTCCCAGGCACGAGACCTGTGAACCATGAATAAAGGTGATGGTTGGTGGTTGATTGGATTCTGTGTGAACCATGAGGCCTGTGTGAGGGTACCCTTTTTGAGCTTGAAGAACCTTATAGACTTATAGATGTTGATAGAGTTTTTTAAAGGGAAAAGGAAAGGATTTGTTGGATAGTTTTTAGGGATTGTGGAAAAAAGAAGGTTGCTTGGGAGAACATTGGCAACTTAGATTGCAGCTTTGGACAATAATAAACAATGTACTGTACTAGTGAACTATATGTCTATTTTCTGGGGGCAGATTGGCTTGATGCATAGGGGGAAGTTTCTGCCAAGAAAATAACATAACGGTTAACATAACATATTAGATCCAATGTTGAAATTCAGGTTTATTATGGGCGACTCGAGATGGGGAGGTTGGTTAATCCTATGTGGACATTATATGCAACTTCTGACATTGTTATTTGAATCATTCCAGAAATCAAACAAACACACCACTGCATGGTTATTGGTTCATTTCGTTCCCTTTTGCTCCAAGTGAGCAACAGGCCATGGCGAAGCCGATCGCAGGATATGAAACAGGTCGTTGGACCGCCAACACGACTGCCAAATTCTTTGGTTTCGACCCCAGTCCACAAGACCCATGGTTAGCTGCAACCTATTCAGTTGCGTTGCCAGCCTCTTTGTTGTTTATTTTGATTGGTCTCAACGCTCATTTAAAGTTGGACCAGATGATGGGCCAGACTTGCTGAGTTTACGCTCCGGTTTTCCCACCGCAGGGGGATTTTGTTGACTCTGTACCTTCAAGTGCAAACCCAATGCTACCATTACCAGCTGTTCTCCTGAAAAAACAACATGAGACGTGGCCAGCTGTTCTCCTGACACGATATCCTCTGACCCACACAGATTGGAACGTTCGACCCACTGACCCACACAGGTGTCAAGTGTAGGGAACGAGTCACGTTCCCCCAATGGTTCGCTTGCAAACACGTCCGTGTGTCATCATGGTCATCCTCAATGTTGTGCTCCTGGCAGAGAACTCTCACTTGATGTAGCTTTTTCTTGCGCAAAGGAACACACAGGAGCAACCATCCCACCAAACCACCTAATAATTATTAATAATTTAATACCACCCACCAAGGGGGCCCCCAGTTCCACACTGTCCAGGCCAAAACCGAAGGAAGCACCATCCATTTGTTTCACTCATTTTGGAGGCCATGAAGTCCATCCATCCGCCAGGGACTCATGGAGTCCAGTTCGGCCCCATCCTTGACCTGGGCTCAGCCAGCTGGGGAAGCCCAGCGGATTGGACCAAACACCGCGCACGGCGAAACCGTCCGGTTCCGGCATCCGTGGTGGGTCGCGTGAGGACAGAGAAGTGAATTGGCATCACCCAGGTGATACGTTCGAGCCACGTGAGACTCGGGTGTTGGGGCTGAAGTGTGGGAAATGGCCAAGGCACCCTGTGAGGTGAAGGTGTTGATCGATTGTGGTCTGGGGTTGGGACGCATGGAACACATTTATTTAATTTACACATTGTACAATATATAAATGTATATATTTGCTTGTTTTCCTAAATGCATTCCTTCGAAAGGAACAGCCATGAACAACCTGTTTATTTCCAAAGACACCTGGCTCACAGGTGTTTCACACAGCCACTCCTTTTGTGGTCGCCCCACGCCACCCTCGGTGTGTTCGCTGCCAGGGTGGACCCTGGGTGAATCGGAGAGATCACTTGGTCACCACCGGCAAGAGCGTCGCGGCGCGCGGCAGTTGGTCGGGCAGTTGGCCAGAAGTGTTGACCTTAAACTTCTTATGGTGTCCCTTTTGTTGTTGTTGTTATCATTAATGCTCACTAACATCTTGTGAAAGATGTTGAACTCTTCATTGACGGCTCGCCGAGACTGGCTTCGGGTGTGCGTTTTTCTTTAATTTTTTCAGAAGTCCTAGCAGTTGAGCGACCCAGTCACTCATGGCTGCCCGGATTTGGGGAGCTTCAACTATTTTTAAACAAAATTATTCAGGTGCCCTCAAGCCATCGGCCCAGAATGATCTCTCTATGGATCCAACAGGGCACATGTCCATGGATCCCATGGATCCAACAGCATCCCCGTTGGTACGTTGCTTCGACCTCCCCAGTAGGACGATGTTTAGGGTTGCACCTCGCGCTGCAGCGGTGGTCGCCAGGCCATGCCTCCCATGAACGAGGCAGCTGCCGTGGCCTGGAAAGCCCGACGAAAGGCGCTTTAGGGGTTGCGGGTCGGAAGGGTTCCGTCCCAGCAGATCCAAACAGATCCTACCAGGGGAAACCATCAGAAACCGGGCTTTTCCCTAGCAAATAACCTGGTTTTTGTATGTGAAAACCATTGTTTTTCATGGTTTTGAGGGCCCCCGGTAAGTATAGGAGACCTCCCATCAGAGCCTGGCACCTTGGGAGGTGTTCTTCTATAGTCTATAGCTATGCTTGTTGCGGTGTTCCTGATGATGTGCTGTGGGTTTGGAGTGGTGAAGATCCCCAGCTAATGGTACTGTAAGTGGGTGATATTGGATGAGAACAATCAAAGCAGTTACATCGAGTTACCAAGAGTTAGTTCGATCACGGTAGTAGTATGTGTAACAGTTATATTATATACTGGTAACTATAACATCCTATAGAACCAGTTAGCATGTGTCCCAGTTGGCAAGTCAAATGAGCTAAAGCAAGTTCGCTCGTTTAAGGGCTACTGGGAGTTTGTGTTTGTCATGCGTCCCACGTCGCCATTGATCCATGGCATAACGTCTAGACCATGTCTTCGATTAAACAAATCTCGTTTCATGGGCTGAATCCGTGGTTCATGGGTTTGATCCGAGAATAAGGAGACTCCAAGGAAATATATCTATATAGATCTATATAATAGATCTACCTTGCTTTCTATCAGAGGCGGACTCCTTTGATATAAAGGTTGCCCAGGATTGCATTGGTGTCACTCTCCCGAGGTTTTTGCACTTCGATCTCATCCGACAATGGTTTCTATTTGCAAATCCTCCATGGGTAACATGTGCTGGAAACAGCTTTTGATTCGATTTCTTGTATCATCTTTGGGGCTGTCGACGAGTAGCATCCCCCTTCTAGGCCCCCAGCCCTGCGGCCGGGCTCAGGTTAAACTCCGTGTGTTCTGCAGCTTTGATTGGTTCAAGTGTCGGATTTGCCAATTGCGATCTTATCAGAGTTTGTGTTCTTTGACCACCTGCAATCAAGCAAGAACAAACAAATCAAACAGATGGATTCTCAAAGTATGGGATCCCAAATCATCCCAAACTGTTATGTTCCTTTTCGTTCTTTCTAGTGGCCTACTGGCCCTAGACACAGCCAAATGCATGAGCTTTTCGCCCATGCGCTTTTCGCTGCTTGACATTTAACAGCTGAGCTGCTCATCGGAGCGCCCCGAAGGGCACATGAGATGTACTGGAAGGTCGTGGGTGGCGCAGAGAAAGGGGGCATTTTGGTGCGGGAAGGAGAGGAGTTCCTCGGCGAAGTGAGCGACGGGTTGGTGTTGGGTTTCAATCATATTTCTACGGCAGCGTACTGAGTGACTGACGCGGTGAGGAGGGTCTGCAATGTAGAGTATAGGTGTTGGCATGTTGAACGTCCATGTGAGGTTGTTCTCACAGAAAGTGAAACAACACTTCCCCTTTCAAGGACCTTGCATGTTGAAAGTGTCGCATTTTCTTTTGACAGTATGTCTCTCAATTAAGGACGGTTCTTGAAATTAAGTTGCTTTTCGATCTACTCGATCAAGGGTTTGCCGAAGAATGACAGCAATTGGCACCAGCATGCCGTGGAAGGAGGCCCTTCAAGCACTGCCTGTTCTGGCCCAGACGGTCCGCATGTTTTTGTATAGATTTGAGGCCGAATGAGATTACTTTTGAATGACCCCCAAAGCGCTGGCAAGCGTCTTAGACCACGGAGTGACTCTTCTCCAACATGGTCCAACTTATTCCAACAATGTCTATGTTTTGCAGCCCTTCTAAAATCTTGGACCTTCAAGAACACCACACCGTCTGAAGTCCCGGGTAGTGATGGTGTTGCTTTGGCCGCAGTGATCCCGGAAGACTAGAACTGGCAGCAACTTGCAGTTTGCTGTTGCGCAAATCTCAAAGTCCCGTTTCAATCCGTTTCAGAGATTCGCCGAATGCTGTTTGCAAGATAATATCACCCCTACCTCCCCACACCCTGTCACACCACACTTTCACCAAATCGTGTCTTCAAGCTGCAGCAGGTGGTGAGAATATGGGTTTGTTCCAAAATGATCCCCCAACTGTTGTAAGACTGGTTTCAATGACCTTTTCCTGAATCTGTGTTCCACAATGATCCATTTCAAGTGTTCCGAAATGAGCCGGGTGCCCGTATACAGGGTTGGACTCGGGACTAGCAGGGGGCTAGAATACAAGGTGCATTCGTTGGAAGTGCGTTGAAAAGTCCTCATCAATATAATATAATAACTTTCAGGCGTCAATACAACCACGGTTCTCACTTATTTTTTTGAGCTTGTTTAGGGCTACATCGCAGTCGAGACCCCTTCTGGTCCATTTGGATTGTTTTAGCTCTATAGTCTCTTCTAATCCATTTCCGCCCTGTCCTGCCCGATTCGTAGTGGGCTCGTCGGACCTCATCAACTTTACCCACTTAATGTTTTCCTTGTAGACACAGACTGGTGCTCAGGGAATGATTCGGCAATGACTAGCCATGTGGCTGAAATTCCTTCAAAGTAGCTGGTGATTGAGTCTCCCACATAGAGCTCTTCTACGACCCCATCCCCAGGAAAAGTCACCCCACATACATATTTAATGTTTGGAGATATTCCAAGAGATTCCGAAACTATTGTGAAGTATACCTTGCCCTTTTGTACCCTATGACCACTGCGATTTTGAGCTTTGCAACCTGTCAGGTTGAGCTCCCCTGAGCTTGGTCGCCTCTCCTTCGCCGCGTTGGTGACCGAGCTTGGGCGCTCGAAGCAACGCTTGCACTTCAAATTGGTCGCTGGCACAGGCGATGATGGGCAGTTGAAGCGGTTGTGGTCGCACATAACAGGCATAGGCGGTATAGGCGGTCACTCTCGATCTCCAGAGTTTGGCTTGGCATATCTGGGGTGAAGGGGGACTGAGCTTTGCCCTCCTGGTACTTGTATAGGTGTTACGGTAGTGATGGGATCAACCAAACCCACACCGCTAAGTCAATCGCTAAGAGTTCTGGTCGAACATCAAGACACCTGTTTCCCCAACTCACGAGCATAAGTATGGCAATTACCATGTTCCAGGTAGTTGAAAAGACAAGTGCGCTTCCAGTTGTGGCAAAAAACAGCATGGAAGTGGAAAACCTCCTTCACCATGTTGTGAGGAAATTCATCTTCAAAGGGACTATGCCAGCCACTTCCTTTGGAGTGGGGTCATATATGTATCGCTTTACACATAATTTCCCCTTTCAAACCACACGTTGCCGATATATGTACCCCTGAGGGATGTCCCATCAACAGCGAGTGACCTGAGTATACTGAGTAGATGGCACTGGCAAGCCATCCAGATCTGGATCCAAGGCGTTTCACCACTGGGACCTTTTTAGTCCATGAGGTCGATTCACTCCAACTGCCCATCACCTACTTCTCGTTCTTTCCGGTTCTTCTTCTGCGTTTGACACCTCTCCCCCTAAGATCCGACTCCGCAACCACAACCACAACCGCCCGATCTGCATTGGATGGACGTCCGATCTACCGGACTGCTTGGAGGCCCATCCGTCCCAGTCGGTGGATTCGTCGGAGGTTGCACCTGGTTGAGGCCCATCGGAAGGATGGATTTCTCTCCACCTTCAAGGCCGCCCCTTAGCGATGTCCCTGGGGCGCTCCACCGCATCAGCGGCGTTGCTGCTTTGGCGTCAGCAGCGGCCGCAGGAGGCGCTCCAAGTGCTGGAGTCAGAGATGGAGCGCCCAGAGGGCTTAGAGGAGCTGCACTTGGCACTGGAGAGACCTGGAAAAAGGGTGGCAGAAGTGAAGATGGATGGTCATGGCATTTTTGAGTATGAGTGTGAGGTGTGAGTCTAATCAGTCTAATGTGATGTCTATCTAAAAGAAAGTCTGAAGACACGTTCCAGAATGTTTGGAACATAGGTTTGTTTCAGACATGCACCGTTGCATTGAGTTTGTTTTGTGTTGTCCTTCTTGACGAATTGGAAGAGAGGTGCCAATTCGTTGCATCACCTGAGTCAATTTCTTGAAGAAGCTGTCCACCGGAAGATCACTGGATGACTCCAAAGGACCCCGCTTGCCCAGTTTTTCCTTCGCAAGGAGAAGGAACAAGTGACGGACAGCCACAAACTCACCAAACTCACCTGTTGACCTGGGATGGATCATGCCATGCCATCATATTTCCCATGATTCAGGAAGCACGATTACCAGGGAAGAGGTAGGATGAGCGAAGAGGGATCATTGATCCAACTGTGTACTTTCATTTGAGTGCTTTGATCTTGGATTCTTCACAAACTGTGGAATTACATAGGAGAGTTGCTAGGTGGTTAGGGGTGTTTCTGTTTGGCCCTCGCAATCATGGACCATGAGCCAACGAGCCATGCACAGTTACAGTTGCATATTTGCTTTGGAAGGGGCTCCAGGCAAACTGATTCGTTATGACTGAGGATCTGCCTAGGCCGCTGGCCCGAAGCGGCTGCCCGAGCACTGCAGCTCCGCCATGAAGATGCGCAGCGCTTGATCGACGGCTGGCGCGCGGCGCCCGGGCGCTTCGCGCCGAGCCCGGCGCTCTTTTGGCCGGAGCCGAAGGAGGTCATGCCAGGTGCGGCCACTTTTCGGTGTTTATATTGGATTGACCAGAAGTTCTGCGGATGCTGTCGATTTTCACCCAGGAAGTCAGGGGTCACCATGCTTATTAGCCCATATAAGCCCTTTTTTTGCAAGTAGGTTTCATCCGCTCTGGAGTGGATTTGGAAAGTGACAGAGTTAGTCACAGCTCGTGTGAAACCGTTCAAGGCAAAGTCGTGCAGCTTATATATCTTGTATTTGAATAGGAACACCTGCCGCCAATGAGTTATGGTCTATGTTCCTTCTTCCAGGGGGTCGAGTTAGGTTGGGTTCCCTATTAAAACAACACCCCCATACCTGATCGAGTCGAAATGGATCCCAGTGACCTGACTCTGTCAGGCATTTGCCAAATCGACGACCTGATCCCTATCCCCACGGAGGAGGTGAAGCTGGGTGTCCGCTTTTTCTTGCAAAGCGAAAATGGACGAGCTTTGGCCGGAATGGCATGGAATGGCATGGTAACAGGTACATGCCCGATCGGTTCACATACCTTCTGAAGTTGGCTTGGGGGATATCGTTGGCTGTCGCATGGCTCCGCATGGAGAGACTCTCTCCGCCTACTGAAGAGACCCCCAAAAGACATCCTTCGACTGCTCCAGGGCGCCATTTCTGTTCCTAGTAGCTTATTGTTTCTAATAGCTTCTTGTTACTACTATAGTAAGGCACTTGTTACGAACGAAGCGATGCACTTGTTACTAGTAGCTTCTTGTTTCGCCATTTCGAAGAAGGTCATATCCTCCCCTCCCACGTCCGACCGTGGATGTTCTGGGCCCCGATGTTCAAGACCCTTCGGAGGTAGGGTGGGTCGTTTCTCTCTGTTTTCTTCGAGGTTTTCTTCCGACATGAACCTGTCTGGTTCTGGCATGTGACTCTTGGGGCCGGACTCGCTACTCACTCCCCAAGGAGATCCGGAGCCTTCCAAGCCCATGGTTCTGTACTTCCATGGCAATGCGGCTCCTTGGAGTGGTTCCCCTTTCGCGGGCGAAGCCGGGTCAAGCGGTGCGCTGCAGGTCCAGTGGGCGGTTCGGGGGTGCGCGGGTAAGTGCTTGCTTCTGCACCAGAACTCCTGAATTGGCAATGCAGGTGCAACATGGTAAGGCCATTCTTATGACTTATTTGATCTTATTTGCATACAAGTTGTCTCAATTGTTTGTTGTGGGGGATGTCCCAAGTCGACCAAGTCAGAAAAAAAGGAAAAAACAGTGAGACCCAGAGTCCATGACAAACAATGATCAAGCTCTCATGTGCCCCGCAGACGGGACCTGTGAATGCATCTTTGTATATGGTTCTGAGCAAATGATATCGATACCTCAGCGAACTCAGATGGTCAGTTCGCTTGCAACTTCGTGAAAACCTGGTTTTCGATTGGTGACTTTTTTTGAGATTCTGAACGTCAATAGATTAGAGACACAGAGGATCCCAGATGCTGACGTGAGCGACTCGGCGTGTTTTGAGATGCCCATGCCATGGCGTTGCCGTCTTAGGAGACCGTGGACACCTACACCGATGAAGACATCCTACATCCCTTGCGCGTGGCTCCTGCCAGCACGTTGGCGGCTCGTTATGGAAAACCACCTGCAGCCTGTCTCACCGTGTTGGGTCAGATTCAGTGGTAAGACTGAGAACAGTAGACACTAGCACCTCGGGGGCTTGTCAAGATCACATTCACTATATAATATTACTGTACTTGCTATTGTTTACCAATAATAGGAGGTGATGTTGATGTGTTCACCTGAACAGTGACCATTTTATTCAGGGCATGTTTCCGGATTCGGAGACATGCTGGATGAGACAGAGAATCAGTTCAATCACACAATGAATCCTTTTAGTGCTTTCAAACTCGTGTGCTTTCGTTCGTGTTGTAGAGTTGTTCCTGTCGTGTTCTGCATGTCGTGTTCTGATCATCAGAACCGATGGGCACCACTATCTTGGTCAACCAGCACAACTGCAGTTGGTATGAAATCACAGAGTTATTCAGCCACTTGATCTCTCCGGCAGGTGTAGTCCAGAGAGTTTTTACCCATTCAGCCTCATTTAGCAAGGCTGCTTTCCACTTGAAGGTTTTACCCATTAGGTTTGGCCCATGAACCTTAGCCGTCCTGTGTGTTTCCACGTGAAAGTCCAAATAGATCGTAGTTTTTCCTTACTGACCACGTTCCACGAGCTTTCCAACATAGCAGGTAATTTGACTGATAGGAAGATGAATCAATTTGACTCTCTTCAGTACATGTAGGAGCTTTGATCGGTGGAGATTTCAGCTCCAGTTTGTACCAGTGGCCCCCACGACCATGGAGACTCCGGCTGCCTTTTAAAAAGACTGCATGGTTTTGGTGGCTGACCAATCTTGGAATTCAGGGCTCCAGTGCACATCACTCGGAGCCCGGCTGTGGTTGATTGATGTGTATCTTATGTGTCATTCTTTATGAGATGTTTCGCCCTTACTGGGAAGAGTTGAAGGCTGCCACCTGAAGGGTCAACCATGGTGGGACTGTCTCTGCGTCTCTCTCATTCTTTCTCTATAACACTGTTGTGTATTCAGTGAGGATAGCCTCACTACCACAACCATGGACGTAGAATTGGTAGAACTTTGACTTGTACGAAGACCCTTCTCCTCTGTAGTAGATTGGGTGTCTTTCACATCCAATGAATTATTGGCAGAGTGTCTTTTGATAAAAGGTGTGTATTTAAATAGGGAGACCTTCCTTTCAGAACCCCTGCAAAGTTCGGAACATCGGCCAGTCTACCCATTGGTTGGGGCTCTCCCTATTGGTTTCATGAACTCACCGAGCTGGAAGGTGGTGGACTTCCGTGGCTATGGCTACTCCACGGGACATCCCTCGCTGGGCACCATGAGCAGCGACGGAGAACGTGTGGTGGAGTACTTGCCGACGCTCTTCCAGAGACATGCACTGCCATGGCCCTGGCCAGGCCAGGTGGGATAGAAGAAAGAGATATACCAGGCACATCCAGGCACATGTCCGGTCTGGTCTGTTTGGGGTCATGTAGCCCGGTCCTGTGGTGGGATTTTCAGAAAGCTTGAATTGGGGGAATCGTATACGGTGTGTCCAGCGCTGAAAGTCTGCAGCTCGCTGCATGAAAACGTCTCAACTACTCAACCCCTCTTCACCTCTGATTTTCGCGTCGCGGCGCCGTTCCGCGGCGCATCGCGCCATGTCGCGTCAGGTGGGCTCTACCTCTTGGGTCGCTCCATGGGTGGCATCGTCGCGTGTCATTTGGCGGCCCTCAAAGCGGATCTCTTCCAGGCCAGCGGCTGGAAGCACCTTCTCCACGGAAATATCCGGTTTCAGCACTTCGGCAGTGTCCCATAGGCGCTTGAATTCATGAACATGTGGAGAGCCGCACGGAAAGAAGGAGTCTCTTGACCGTCTGTCTACTGTAGATCTCTGTACATCCATGTACTTCAAGCTTTGAGGCCTCCAAAATGCCGTCGCTCAGATTGATATACGACAAAAACTCGACGACCCTCGACCTGACGGGCGCGGACCTGCTGCATCCCACGCGGTCAGGGGGTCATCTTGGAATCCACGCTCTGTGGCAGCCACGCTCCGGGAGCTTCAGCTCCTGAGGAACCACCGCAGGAGCCGAGCATCTTGATAGATGGCTGGACGCACGGCTGGATGATCATGAAGGGCAGGAGCATTGGCTCCAGGGCCATGTCTACTTCATAATATTTTACAGTAACAAACACAACTCACAGCATTTTAAACATGTCAAAGATTCTCCAAATCCGTCTCAAGATCATCTTGGACCTTGGGGCATGAAGAGCTCAAGTCCTCAACCTCAAGCTCGCCTAAACTCCTCCCAATCCTTTGGGGGATGACTGTTCTCCGAGACCCTTCCTTCATTGTTTGGAGGCAGGTATGCATTGCCAGTGCTACGTAGCCAGTACCATCCACCCAATGGAAATCCACAAGTAGTGCTGGGTAGCAGTGATCAGTTGGATGGTCCACTCAAGATGATGGACCGTTGCCTATACCGTTGCCAGCAAGGTCACACATTGCAAAGCACGAAATGCCGATCCCAAGAGGCCTTTAGCGGAAGAATTTGGGGAGAAGGATATAGTTGCTGCTGCCAGTTTGCATGGTACCAAAAGCATCCAAAAGCGCTGTGGGTTACTTGTATTCTATTGTCCCTGGGTCCCTGAAATCCCTGAGGTGCTTTCTTTATTCTTTATTGCTACTTGTCAGTCCAATCATTGAATGCAGCAAAGGCCCGATGCAGAAGGTCTGATCTTTTGCCTGGCCTTGTCCATCTCACGGTATATGAACATTGTGAACTTCTCCTGTCCCCAATTGGTGTCCCAAGCGATATCAAGTCCTTGCTCCATAAATGCCATAAATGCAGGAAAGGGGGGCAGGTAGGACAGATATGGACAGATCCTCACACTGGGTTCAAGACATCGAAAAGCTTGCATCTTCGCTTCGCCACGACTTCAGCGCCGTCCCGTGCGCTGAGGTGGATCCACTCCACTCCACTCCACTCCACTCTCCAAGCAGTGATAAACCATGATAAACCTCAAAAGATCCATTCTACGCTTCCTTTGACGATCCGGTTTGCTGTGGACAGCAAACTGCACAGCCCAGATCCACCGGTTCGGATGACCAAAGCCGAATACCAAACAGGTGATGCCATCCACGTTGGCCCATGATTCTTTCAGGGAATGTAATCAGCGGGTGTTTTTTTGCACAACGGGGGAAGACGAACTGGTGGCTCACCTGCCAAAAGAACATTCTTGGTTCCAGATAGTTTTCAGCAGCATGCAGCATGCGTCAACACATAAAAATGCGTCACAACATATACAACGACTGGGGGAATCCATGGTTTTTTGATGATTTGTGTGTCGTCCGTATCGTTCGATTTCCAAGAGATGGACGGCAAAAACAGTGATGTGCAGAATGGATCTCACGTCGCAGGAGTTGGAAGATGGGGATTCCTTCGTGCATTTGATGGCCAGTGAGGACAAGATCAGAGCTTTCACCGGCAGGCTTCTGAGCCGAGGCTGAACTGGTGAGGCTTCAGTCGGGTGGAGGAACTGGTGAGGAACAGTGTGGCCTTGCGGGACAGGAAGAAGCCCCAAGACATGAGACCTGGAAGAGGCCTACGTGTAATTGTCCACATTGTTGTCCACAGTGTAATGTCTGATCTGGTTGAACCATGTTGTAGACAAACATTCTAAACAGAGTTCCTTTTTCAGTGTGTATAATCATGCCTGCTCAGTTGCCTGCTCTTATTGAAAAAAACAAGAGGCCATGAAACCCGAGAACCTGAGATGGGTGAGTATCCTTCGGTACATGAGTCCTTTTCTCTATTAATCAGGGGATGCACATGAGGTTGATCAGAGTAGACTACTCTCCCCAGGTCGCCATTGTTAGTGGCTTCATCGATCTAACTCAAGCCATGTTCTATTGGAGTTACATTGTTGGATGCTGCCATTTTGAAGGACTTTCAACCCGCAGGAAAGAAACCGTATATAGGAATTTACTGATACTGATATTCTGAATACTTATCACTTTGTTTACTTGTTCCTTTTGGGACCATGACTGATGCCATTTTCGCTGGCTGCTTGCCAGCGAGGAGTGTTCACCGGTCATTGGTTGTAGCAGGGTCATATGCTCGATGTTGAAAACAGATGCAAAAGACAAATCCAGAGGACCAGCAGGTCAGCTACGAACGGAACATGAACGCGAACCGAAGGAAGGGGCGAAACTGGCATCGCTACGAACGGAGCGATCGGACGCGAACCGAACGGAGGTCCGTTGGGTCCGGTGCGTGCCCTACCAGGTTCGGTCCCCACCGGTTTCTTAAAACGACGACGACGGTGCTTCTACCAGGTTCAGAGAACTCATTTGGAAGCTTTGAAAAAGCTTGACCAGGTAGGAAGAGCTGAGCAGGTGCTTGAGTGCCTAGATATTCACAGATAATATAGGTATAAAACGGTATAAACAGCTTTTGATCGAACATGTGTGATGCTTGAAGTTGTTTTTCGAACGTGGGAAACGGTGGGCTCGCCAGGGAATGCGCCCTAAAATCTCATGAGGATCCTCCACGGAGAGCTGGACACCCTCATCCCGGTATCCCACGCCCGGCGCTTGTTGGACGCCGCCGAATACGCCACGCGACGACTGGTGACCGTGAGCAAGGGCCACAACGTCGCTGGGCGCAGATCGGTGAGCAGCGCCCTCTCTCGATTTAAGTTGCAATACTTGAATTGAAGGAAGATTAGATTAGTATTCTGATTTAGTTGAGTGGAAGATTAGACAGTACCACTAATCGATTTAGTTGAGTGGAAGATTTAGTAAACAGTACCTCTAATCGATTTAGTTGAGTGAAAGATTAGACAGAAAGCTTCGATTTGGATCTCCCACTCGTTGGTGCTGAAGAAGAAGCCGCGGCTGCAACATGACCGACCATGACCATCCACAGAAAGGTGTTTGACCAGAAAACAGTTCAATGAGTTCAGACAGGTGTTTCCTTACCAACACAATTTTTTGGTCCGTTTGGTGACCATCATGGGCTGGGTGAACGTTGGTGGTGGATTGGAAGAGCGCATGATCGTGGATGGTCATCACTTCGACTAAGCGCTGACTAGTTGAGGAATCTAATAGGCCTATCCTATCCTGCTTTGACCATCATTGGGCCCGTTTGGATCGAAAGCAAGAGGCATGGGCCAAGAGCCCGTTCGATTGCTCTATGCCACTATGCCGTAGAGAAGAAATCTCGACAGATGATTGAAGGTACGTTGCTGGTTTTCTGACCGAGGATATCTCCACCAGTGACAAGTATGTGGCTTGGCAAGAGTTCTAGATATATCCAAACCTACAAAAGGTCTTGAACAAGAAGTGGACGTTTCCAATAATCCTAATCCATTATGTTGAGCAGCAAATGACCTGGAAGTGATGCAAGTGGGGCTGATCTTCAATCAAAACAGATGACTGAGACCCACATTACCACTGTATGGATCTGTATGGAAGAGTTGCTTAGCCTCTTTCTCAATCAAGAAGTTTTCGATCGTTTTCGGTGACAGTCGATGACTTAGTGGAAAACTCCCAGATGGCCCTCCGGAATCCCTCTAAGTCTGCCTGATATCTTAGGGCATGTGATGATGTTTTTTGTCATGCAGCCAACCCACTGGGCATGGACGAAACAAACCATCCTCACGCAGTTGGACGGCTGGACCATCGTAGACACTTTGCGTTTGAAAACACGGATCCAGACAGCAAGGTGATCAGCATGTTTTGTATATATTTGCACCAGCCTGGCTATGCATGACAGGGCATACAGGTTTGCACCAGACGATTTTTGCCCCAATCGAGGTGAAGGCATTGAAACAATTCCTCCAGGGTGGCTGATTCGCGAGGGGCGGCCCTCTCTGGTTGGGGAACGACCTGCAGAATGGGCAAAACCAGCTGTGACTTGGTTCGTGAATGGGATAATGAATATGTCGTATTTCGACGTATTTTGGATGGTCAATAGAGATGTTTTTCTATATAGGCTGGGGTAGGCTCAGCTGGGTTTGCTGAAGATCCACTGACTTCGATGGACATGTTTGAGTTGCAATCATGCTCATGTACATCAGCATTGACAGGGCGCCAAATTCCTGGAAATTGGCTTCATACTGTAACCTCTTTCCACGAGTTCACCCATGTGCCCAAAAGTTCAATGTTTTTACGGTCAGAGAGAGAGAGAGAGAGAGTGTTGATCGAAGAAAACCAAGAAAAGCACGCAACTTGACCCACAATCAAGGCTTCACTGCACCTTTGGCAGAAGCGAACGAAGTCAGTGGCCGGAGATTGGCCGACCAGGCCAAGTCAAAGAAAAGACACACCCAGGACAGCGAAGAACTTCTTGATTTGGACACTGGTTGTGTCCTAACTCAAGTCCAGTAATGAGTTTGGGACGAACAGAGTAGCAAGAAAAGCTTATCTATAGCAGTAGCATTATATTTTATACAGCTTTTGCTCAGGAGGGAGCTAAGAAGCTGGTGGTATCCGAGGGAGCCAAAGGACTACGTACAGCGAATTCGCCCAACCCCTTGCTAGACAAGCACATGTGGTGTCAACAAGTGCAATGTCCTTTCGCCGATCATTGTTCCCCAGGTCGAAGAGAAGCGAACATCGAACGCCTCGTTGCGAACATCGACGGAATGGGCTTGCTTTTGGTTTGACGTGGCGAAGGAGTTCTCCATCAGCATAGCATGCAGTGTTGGTGATTCACGCAACATGTGCTTTCACAATGTGTCCGTAACAGGTCAGCTTTGCCTTTAAGAATCTGATAGAATCTGTAGCGACATGTTTGAATGAAGCAATCAGCGTAGGCTGGGGTATTTTTTATATGTTTTGATTCCTTTAAATTCATGGTGCCACCGGAGTTCCCACTGCTCCACCTCTCAGAAAAGGACGGTCGATCCTGAGTCACCTGCGACCTCCGCGGATGGCGAAACGGTGTGTGACTTGGTGGACTCTGGTGTTGTTTTTTCCTTATGGATTCAGCTAAATGCTCAGAAACCAAACTGCAAGCGTAACTCAGGATGCTTTTTGTAATATGTGGGCCCATGTGGACCCTCTTCTTTGGAATTCGTGTGCAAAACCCAGAACTACGTGCAACAGGCCAGGGTGTCTCTGATCACGAGTGAGAGTGTGGGTAATTAGAATGGACGTAGATTTCTTTCTCAGCGTGACTTTCTAGTAGAATCTTTACTGTTGCTGAATCTCGCCACAGCTTTGGAGAGGTAAGTCTGTAAATGTCATGTGGAAACTAAAACGTTGTTTGCAGCATAGGGCTCCAAGACTGCAATCCACAGGATTTCTACGAATCTCCGTAACTGCACCGGTGGATCCTGCTTTTGATCTTTGGTCCCAACATAGACAATTGTCTTGGCTCTAGGTCTGTCAAAGAAGAGAATACGTTTTGTACATGCATATAGAATTATATATAGTTTTTTTGTACATGCATCGATCATCGTAATCAATTGTTTTCGCAAGACCACTTGCTGTTAGACACGCCCTAGACTCTGCTATGTCATCTACGCTCCTCTAGGAACGCCCTCCCTAAAGATGATGTTTCACCAATGGCTTTGCCTTTTTCCATAATCAAACATCTCTCACTTGGACCGCCCAGGTCGCGCCCAGGTCGCGGGCAGCCCGGCGCACCGACTCAGCCGGGAGCAAAAAGCCGGAGGGTGCAAGCTGAGACACTCGTGGACAGTGGATGTCCTTCGCGTTTTCGCCAGGCCACACTGCAAGGTCAGCTGGGCACCGGAAACCGCATTAGTTCTGTGGTTTGGAGCCTCATAGCGACATGCAGGCGCTTGCGCGTGTTCAATGCGGGCACGCATTGCGTGATAGGAGGGTGATTCGCACATCTGCTAGACTAAATTTGGTGGGTGCCTGGGTGCTAGGACATAGTGTATAGGGAACCGTCAGGATATCCAAAACCATCTGAAGGAGAGAGTTTGTTATTAGGTTGGAGGCCATTGCTATTACGTATGTTGGAGGCCATGGCTAGTAGGTAGGAGGCCATCGCTATTAGGTAGGCCATGCTGAGTATTGTCATTCTGTGCCCGTTGCCAGACTAATAGGAACGGACTAATTGCCCTTTTTGTTGCGAACTGATGTGAAGGGATGTCGGATAGGTTCCTTGTTGCCAACTGATCCCCTGTCGGAGGGCTGTGAGGGTTCCGTGTGATGGGCTGGTCAGCACAAGTACCTGTGGCTTGAGGTCTGAATCGATTGCATCCTTTGTTCGAGCCTTTTCTTGATACGTTTGCAACGATCTTTCGCTGCTTGCAATCTAGAAGAACCCACATACCTCCAAAAGAGGATGCTTGGAGGGACGTTTTCAGGCTTCGTCCTGCCTGACCTTCTCAGAACGTATGTTAACATATATAACTATGTTAACATATATATATATATATACACTGATGGAGAGCACCATCTCCCTATTGGTTTGTTCTGCTTACGCAGAACCTGCCACAGTATGGCAGCTTGAACTTGCATGAAGAGCCTTTTCTTGGCCGACTGAGGTGCAATACCCGGTGTCCACGAGGGACCCAGACAACATGTGCTCCAACTACAAGCGGCACCTCTCTGCGGAGGTGGGTGACCACGACGACCGTGCCACAAACGTGGAGTTTAGGACGATCTACAGCGAGGATCTCAGAATCTATGGATCCAGATCCGGATGATCCTGAGGGGGGTCTTTTGGGATGTAGACTGGATCGGATTGGAGATTTGTTCAAACATTTTGTGAGAAGGTGCTGGACTTCGTTTCAGATCGGACGGAACCAGCCGCCTGGCCGCCCTCACCTAGATCTCACCGCCCTCACCTAGAACCCTTGGTTGCAATACAAACTGGTGGTAAGGCTATCTATTGATCAAGAGGTCACCAAAAAGAGAGTGAGGTCCTGATCTCAAAGAGATTCTCAAGACAGGGGTGGGTTTAGCCTTTGCCAGCCTCCACTGAGCCTTTCGTTCATGTTTTTATGAGAGAGGTCTCGAGCAGGGTTTCCCGAGGATTTTTTTCTGCGAGTTTTTTTCCAGCAAAATGATCTGGAAACTGGACACAAGACAGCCAGGATCGTCGAATTCTTCGCGTGCGTGTGAAGCATCACATGCGGGGTGCATCCGGCTGAGTTGGGCGATGAATTGTGGTGTTTTCTGATGGAGGCCCTTGATGGCTGTCGCTTCAAACCCTACGGCTCCAAGTACCTTCTAAGCAGGTGTTTGGGGTGGGTTTAGAGGGTCCAAATACCTTTCTGAGGAGGTACGACATGAGCCCTAGGGAAAGGGTATACTTGTTCTCTTGAGCTAAATCCTAGATACAAGATGATACAAGGGACACCCTGTTCACCACCATACAAAGCCTGGATTTTGGTGCACGGGTAGCTTCAGAGCTAGATGTCAAGCGATGGAAGTGATGGCCCCCAAACCTTGCACAAGGTATATATCAAGTTCTTCTTGTTGCTCGACCCGTTCTCGTTTCTTGGCGCCTGGCTGGCCCCTTTGTGGTACGCTCGTTGCCAGGAAGTGGCACACATGTGGCGCATGTTCTCCAAATGTGACGCATATTATGGGCCAAAATGCAATGCGCTTTTGTGATCTTTTCTGCACAGCATGCAAATCACTATTCATATTGGTGGCAGTCCGATGAGTCCTCAAACAAATCTGGCCAGGACAGCCATCTTGGCCGAGCAATGTGTATGAGGTCCGGTGTTGCAACGGGTCGTCAGAAATGCAGCTGGTCGTTTCGGATGATATGGAGACATAAAGAATCATAAAGAACAGGCTTGTGTGTGTGTCAAGCCATTGGACTGAATTGGTGAACAACCACTGCATGGTTTGGCAGCGGTTTGGAATGGTTTGACAGTGGACAAAAAACACTTGAGACTGGAGTCTTTGTTGGGATAAATGCCAGCTGTCACCATCGTGAATCTGTGAGAAGAAAACCGAGTGGATTTGGATCCGAAGGTGATGAGAAGGTCCGACCCCACCGTGATGGGGGGAAGGGTTGACTCACCAAAGATTTGTAGTTGATTTTTGGAAGATGGAGACCATATAAGGCCTATAAGGTCATGAGATCGTTGAGTGAACAGAAACAGCCTGTGCAAATTCCTTGGACCCATCCCATGGGTTATTCCTATATACTGTTGTTCAACTAACCAATTTGCAGAGTTGGGTCAATAATGATCAATATGTAAAGTGGCAGAGTTTATATCTCAGTATGGTGGGCTAAGGACCTGTATCGAGCCGGTGCAGCACAACTGACGTGGGGTTGAATGAACTGCAGCATCTTAACACAGTCAACAAACCATCCAACCAATCAATCCTCCAGGGATGTCAGCTGTTCTGGGGCGTTGGAAGGCATCCCCGACCAGCTCGGGCCGGATCTGAGCTTAGCAGCCTGAGCTGAGGCCGAGAAAGTCTTCCTGCAGACCTTTGCAAAGTGCCCAGAGCTTTGCACTGCCTGGGATGCCCAGAGTAGCAACATGCTGGAAGGGCAGGGGAGTACCTGCCAGTATGTGACCGGTTTGGAAGGTGGTGTGGAAGGGTGGTTTTGATGGTTATCCCGATGAACCAATCCACTACAAGGTTCACGAGATTTCGTGATGTTCTTTTTCTTTATTATAAGTTATCTATCACTATCCTCCCATTGAACTGATATATGTATCGAGTTGGTGCTTGAAAACTGATATATGTATCGACGTCCCCCGGACTACGGTCCCGTTCACTCTGCGAAGCATGCGAAGCAATCCCAAGAGGGGGTTTGGAGATGGCTCAAGAAGACTGTTTGGGATTGGTTCGCGGATGTTTGGGGGGGATGTTTGTGGTATTTTGCTTTGTGAGGAACAAACTCTTCGGAGCTGCAGTGGTCACCTTCATGCTTGCAGCTATGCAACAAAACTGATTCAGAACTGTCTCACATCATCTGGCTAAGTCAGTGTGGTGGTAGTGGTGTCGGTGGGTCCATAGAGAGTACAGAATATTTTTTTTTGAGTAAGATTGAAGTGATTTGATCCTCTCGATCGATCTCTCAATTTCTGGTGATAAGAATTCCACTTCACTGAGTTTGAGTTGCATTGTCTTGCCACTCAACGCTGGGACCTCATCCCGCAACGAGGCCTTCTATGGCAACGAGGACTTCTGCGAAAAGTTGCTCCGGGAATCCGTCCTGGCTTTCGAGCACGGCATGTCTGGATGCCCGACTCGGTTGGATTTGTTTCTTCGTAGGAGATTACGGACGTAATTAGATGGCCGAACGTTTGAGCAAGACCTGCAGTTTATGTTGATAATTAATATGATATAATATGTAATATAATGTACTGTAATATATGAGGTTGTTAGCTCTATGCCTCTATGCAGTTGTTTGTTCTTATATGTTGATGTTGATTTGTTGGTTTTGTTGGCTCTAGTTCGAACCAATGGATCATCCAAAAACTTCACTTCAGACACGTTCGTCTTGCGTCCTCAAGACGACGGTCTTTTACGGCTTCGATCACGAGAAGAAACGAACTGTGTTGCCAAAGGCTGACCAGTTCCAAAACATACTGGTAGCACTCAATGAGCACTTTTTTAAGTGAATGTATAGTCTACTGCATTGGTCTGTGGCTGAAAGGTTGGCCAAGGAGCAGGTTTGGCTTTGCCCAGAGCTCCATACGATGACCCACTCATAGATGCTGCCCACTGATCCGCGTGACTGACAGCATTGTAGACCCGGGACTTAGACTTAATTCGTGTTCTTTCTCAACCAGGTAACCATGTTCCCCTATCTAGCATTGCACAATATGTTCTGTCAAACCAATCAACGATTCCATAAACAGTCAGCGCAAGCTTTGCACATCTTCAAGGACTCCGGCAAATTCTCATCCAAAACTCCACTCCGCAAGAACGACTATACCCCTGGTCGCGTCCCCGTTCACTCCTATTCGAGTTCGACCAAGGTTCGAGGATGCTCCAAAACACACCCAGTTCAGGACGCTCCCACGCTGCACGCGCCACGCAGCACTGTGGTCGGTTTTGCGTGTGACTGGTTCGCTGCGGTTCGAGAGCTGGGGTGATGCAATCGACCGAAGTCATGGAATCCCAATCCGCAGATGTTCGGCTTTGGGTGGAGATGTTGGGTCACGAATAAGGCCCAAACGGTATCCCGTCGTGGACAACCGGTTCTGGTAATTAGTTTTCAAGAGTATAGGATTTGCAGTTGGGGCAGCTGGAGAGCCTTGTGCTCAATACATCTCAATACTTATGTTTTGCCCTATGTGGACAGAGCAATCGTTGTCACTTGCTCCATACAACATCTCAACGCATGTTTCAAGTGTCAAGAAAAAATTGTGTTTGCTTTCCTTTGGATACCATGTCAGTGTGTGATCCCCCAACACTTGGTTTCCTCACCATCGCTGATTTCCCACCATCCATCACCTGTTCATCCATCACCTGTCCGAGAACGACAAGAACATTGGTGCTCCAGGACTCGCACCGATTCACTCAGCACAGACTCCCTACAGTACACATCTGACAATACCTTAGATGGGGCTGAGTCCCAGTAACAGTTCAACAAGGGATTTTTATTAAGTGTGTTCATGAAAACGAGCACCAGCGAATTGCTGGAAATGGCTCTTGGTTTTGGGACATTTTGGTCAATGAATTGCTGGGGTTGACCCAGATTGAAAAGTTTAGATCTCACCATGATCAGAATCATACCTCACTTCACCCATCCCCTGCCCCATACCCAGTGCCCTTCTGTAAGGTGTGTATGTGTGTGGGCCTTGCAAATGATATAAGATGGTGAATGCTTGTCTTGCTTGTCCACCACTGTCAAAGGTCATGGTGGGGTGATTTGACGAATTCGAGCACCAGATTTGACGAATTCGAGCACCAGATTTGCCGAATTCGAGCACCAGATTAGACGAATTCTAGCACCAGATTTGGCGAAATCGAGCACCAGATTTGACGAATTCTAGCACCAGATTTGACGAATTCTAGCACCAGCCAGAGCACAATTTTTGCGCGCGTGTGTCTCCGCTTTGCCCGCTCTGGCACCAGCCCGACCACTGGGCTTTGCGAAATCGAGCACCAGCCAGAGAAATTGAGCACCAGATTAGGCGAAATCGAGCACCAGATTTGACGAATTCTAGCACCAGATTTTGCGAAATCGAGCACCAGATTTGACGAATTCTAGCACCAGATTTGACGAAATCGAGCACCGCCAAGGACCACCACAAGAAGCACCAGGTTTGACGAAATTGAGCACCAGATTTGACGAAATCGAGCACCAGATTTGACGAATTCTAGCACCAGATTTGACGAAATCGAGCACCACCAAGGACCACCACAAGAATCACCAGATTTGATGAATTCTAGCACCAGGTTTGACGAATTCTAGCACCAGATTTGGCGAAATCGAGCACCAGATTTGACGAAATCGAGCACCAGATTTGACGAATTCGAGCACCAGATTTGACGAATTCGAGCACCAGATTTGACGAATTTGAGCACCAGATTCGACGAATTTGAGCACCAGATTCGACGAATTCGAGCACCAGATTTGACGAATTCGAGCACCAGCCAGTAAGTGATTTTTGAGTTTGAGTTGGATTGTGTCTCCGCCCTGGGCAGAATTTCCAGAAAATCAGCAGGTTTTGCGAAATCGAGCACCAGATTTGAAGAATTCTAGCACCAGATTTGACGAAATCGAGCACCAGATTTGGCGAAATCGAGCACCGGATTTGACGAATTCTAGCACCAGATTTGACGAAATCGAGAATCAGAGCCACCAGCCCAGGGACCAGCCCACATTTCAAAATGAAAGCAGAGCCACCAGCCCAGGCCAGCCAGGGACCAGCCCCACATTTCCAAATGAAAGCAGGGCCACCAGCCCAAACCAGCCAGGGACCAACCCCACATTTCAAATGAAAGCAGAGCCACTAGCCCAGGCCAGCCGGGACCAGCCCCACATTTCAAAATGAAAGCAGGAGAGTCTTTGCAGTGCATGGGAGATTTGATTGGACCCAGACCTTTTTTTTCAATTTTCCTGGTGCTGCTTTTGTGCTCATCGATTGTGCTCACTGTTAGTGGGACTCAGCCACTTCGAAACAATACCAGGAGATTGTGACCATCTGGACGCGCGAAAAACCGCGCGCTGTTCACGCTTCGAGGCCTGAAGCGCTCACATCCCTCCAAGCCCTTGAAAGTCTCAGAAAACACGAATGGTTGATGTCGCATTTCTATGGTAGTTGTATGCGTGACATCATTCACATCAAGATATGTTGACAAATAACACACAACTGTAGATGTTTCAAGATAACACATCATTCATTGACAAATAACACATCATTGACATCATTCACATCAAGACATTTCAAGATAGATATCGAACATCTCCAGCCTGTCGCCACCCTCCATGAACTGATCGCCATCGCCAGGATGAATAATCCCAACTGGGAGGAGACCTTCCAGAACAAGGCCGCTGTCGGTGCTGGCGAGGCCTGAGAACCGGGTATAGACTAAGGAGAGTGGGTCTCAGACGACTGGGAGAAGCATGGGGGAAGGTGCAACTTGGTTGCGTCCCGTGACGACGATTTCTTTACAGCAGCCCTCAAACCGATGAAATAGAGGTGTTTTTCACGTACAAAATCAGGTGTTTGATGGTTTTGGATGGTTTGTGGGGATTTTGAAGCCTCAGACTGCAGCCTGGTTACGCCCTATCCACCATCCATGGGGCGGGAAGAGTATTTTGGGAATCCATGTTCATCCCGTTTCGACTCGTAAATGATGGGTAAATGATTAGGCCATACTGCCATCCATGGTGATTTGACCAGTGCCTTTCTCACCAGTTGAGCACCCAAATAGCACCCCCGTACCGCACCGTTGCCAGCATCGCTCAAAGGGCAGCTTGCCGGGTCGATTCGCCACCAGTGGCACCGCGGCCGAAAAGGGCGCCATGTGGTTCCACGTTCCGACCAGCGCCATGGCGATGGCGCTCTGGGTGGGAGCAGCGGGCGAGATCTTTTCTTTGCCGGCCTTGCAGTATGAGTAGCTTAGCAGGACGACTTAGTTGAACATGTAGGTGGGCTGAGGCTGGCTGATGGTGGCTAGCTGGCAATGTCAGTTCGGGTGGTGATCCCTGACTTGGTCGGGGTTCTGGAGAAACTCATGATTGATCATGATAATGACAATACCATTTGGGAGAATGGAGCTTTGGGAAGCTGGGAGGATTCTCGCTCAGCACATATTATGCCAGAATATGCTGGATTTGATTTATCGCTTTTCGTTGACCAGTGCCAATATGAGAGTATGCACATGAATTTGCACCCGTCCTCTTCTTCGAAAGGTGTGGACATGAAGTGAGTTTCACATGGTTTCACGTTCTTCTTGTTGCAAAAAGAGGTTGGGATGGATCAAAGCAGACAAAATCAAACGAACGATCGACGGTGATGAAGGGATGCACTTGCTAGGGCCGGGGGTCGGCCGGGGCTGCCGAGCACACTTGGTTCGCCAAAATGGGGCTCCTAAGTTGTCTCAACGATACAACTGCATACGCAACACAATTGACTACTTCCTGTGTTCTTTGTGTCCACTTACTTGGTTCAACTGAGATTCACAAGCCAAAACATAGATTCAACAGATGTTTTTAGGGTGCAGAAATGGGACAACTGGACCTGTTTCGTTCGACTCGTTTCGGTCTCCGGTCACCAAAAACACCCCTCGTTCCAATGGACTCCGAACCAAGTGTGGTACATCCAAAGGACACCCAGCTACGGCCTGCTGGCGGTTCATTCAGTCAACCTTGGAGTCACTGGGATCCGTTTGGAGTGTTAGACTTGATATTGGTTTTTCACTTAGGCCGGCGTGTGGCACACCGCAACCAAATCAGTACGCATAATCTCAAGTGTGTGTGTGTGTGTCCACCCCTGGACAAAGGGTTTTCCACCGCCACTCTTTT